CCTAAGCCACAGTCTATTCAGCTCCTCAATAGAAACTCATGTGTTCTAGCTGTGTGATACTTCCTTGTTCCTATTTCTTTTTAAAGATTTATTTATTTATTATCTATACACAGTGTTCTGCTTGCTTGCATGTACCTGAACACCAGAAGAGGGCACCAGACCTCATTACAGATGGTTGTGAGCCACCTTGTGGTTGCTGGGAGTTGAACTCAGGACCTCTGGAAGAACAGCCAGTGCTCTTAACCTCTGAGCCACCTCTCCAGCCCAGTGGAATCTTTTGTATATATATGGGTGCTCATATGCGTGTGTGTGTGTGTGTGTGTGTGTGTGTAGAGGCAAGAGGTTCATGTCACAAGCCTTTCTCAATCACTCTGTCTTTGGTTTTGAGATGGGGTCTACCATTGAACCTATACCCTGTCTATTTGGCTAGACTGGCCTGCAAGCTCCAGGTACCCTTTAGTCTCTGCCTTCTCAGAGCTGGGATTACAGATGTGTGCCACCGTACCTGGTTGTGTGGGTGCTGGGGATCCAGACTCAGACCATAATGCTTGTGTGGCAAACACTTTGCCAGCTGAGGCATCCCCCGGTCTCATAATGAAATGTTTCCAGATGAAAAGAAGGGTGAATGTGTATCATTTGTAGGACAATAGATACAATTGGAGAGAGTCATGGTAAGGGAACTGGGTCAGTTTCAGCAAGACAAATAGTGTATGTTTTCTCTCATTTGTGGGGCCTAGAGTTCATAGATGCGTAAGATGATGTATGGAAAACAGGAAACTGCCTGAGCAACAAGAGGAACTATTGAGAGGGCCAGGGATGATGAGAAGGAGGTAGTGGCCTGGGGGTGGGTATGTGCTTAAACTGAACACACACACATAAAGTACACTATGGATAAAAATGAGCATATGTAACCCCGTCTCAAACGGTTTTCAAAAAATTAAAGGCATCAACAAATTCATTGTACTCTCCATCAAAATCATGAAGACACCATTCACAGAACTAGAAAAAATAATCCCAAAATGCAAATGGAAGCATGAAAGACTCAGATCGGCCAACATGATCTGGGGTGGTTGGGGGTGCTATGTTGTGTGTGTCATGATACCTCATTTCGAATTATACTACAGGGCTATGGTAACAGAGACAACACAGTAGGGCAGAAAAACCAGACATGTAGAGCAGAGCCTCACAAATAAACCCACACAGCTGAAATTGTCTTTTTAAAAAAGTTTCCCAAAACACATGTTATGGGGGGGGGGGGAAAATCCCACACAGGTGATGTGGGAAAACTGGATATCCACAAGCAGAAGAATGAGCCAGGATCCCTTCCTCTTGCCTTATATAAAGAACAATTCAAAGTGGATCCAAAACCTTAATATAAGACCTGAAACTTTGAAACTCCTAGAAGGAAACTCCCCAGCACACAGTCACAGCAATGACCCTGTCCAGTCGGCCAGAGAAAAACAAGGATTGGCAAATGAGATCGCATCAGATAAAAAGCTTTGGTACAGCTTGCCCAGAGGGAAGAGCCAGGACGTAAAATGGAGAAAGCCTTTCCTAGCTATTTATCTGGCAGCTAATATCTAATATCTAAAATACAAAGAAATGAAACACAAAAGAACAGATAAGCTAGCCAATAAATGGGCAAATACACTGAACGGACACTTTAAAAAGAAGAAATAGAGCCAAGTGTGGTGGCGCACGCCTTTAATCCCAGCACTTGAGAGGCAGAGACAGGCAGATCTCTTGAATTTGAGGCCAGCCTGGTTACATAGTCAGTTCCAGGATAGCTGGGACTGTATAGAGAAACCCTGTTTGAAAGAAAATAAAGGAAGAGGAGGAAGAGATACAGATGGCAAACAAAAACATGAAGAAAAAAATCCAGCATCTTTAGCCATCAAGGAAATGCAGGCCTGTCTACATCGAAAGCCCGGCTCCCAGGCATCAGAGTGGCTGCCACCAGGAAAACAAAGGAACAGGCTGGTGAGGCTTCGGGGCTCAGGTATGGCTTACACATTGCCTGTAGAAACGTAACTTAGTTCAGCCACTATGGGAACCAGTGTAGAAATGTGCTCCAAAGCTAAAGCTGGAGTTCCCATGTGATGCATCTGTACCACTCGGGAGAACAACCTCAAGAACCAAGGTCAGACTGCAGCAGAGAACCCCATGCCCGTGGTGCTGCCGTAGCAGTCATAGCAATCGAGTTATGGACCTGGCACAGGTGCCTGTCTGTGGACAGGTCTGTGACCCCGGCCCCTGGGGTGGGGGTATTAAGGCAGGAGGATTGCTGCAAATTTAAAGTTAGTCTGGGCTAAATAGTGTGTTCCAGGGCAGCCTGGGCTACAGAGTAAAATCTTGCCTCAAAAAAAAAAAAAAAACCAAGGGACTGAAGAGATGTCTCAGAGGTCAAGTACACTTGCTGCTCTTGCAGAGGACCGGGACTTGGTTCCCAGTGCCCACATAGTGGCTCACAACTCTCTGTAACTGCAGTTCCCAGGGGTCCAGTGCCCTCTTCTGGCCTCTTCAGGCACCAGGCACACATGTGGGGTACTTACCTTCATACAGACCACTTATACACGTATAAAAAAAAAAACCCAAACCCCAAACCAAACCAACCAAACTAAAACAATTAGCTGACAACCAAACCAAAATCAACAAAAAAAGAGAAAGATAAAAACTAGAAAGAAGACACAGAGGGTCTCACTCCGTGATCAATAATAACAAAACACATCATCTACAGTCAAGTGGGTGGGACTAGAGAACATCACGTTAAGACAAATGAGACAGACCCCAAAAGATGAACATCACATACATTAGTTACTTTTCTCATTGCCACAGAATACCAGACAGAAGCAACAGTATGGAGGAAGGGTTTGTTCTGGCTCACAGTTTGAGGGTGCAGCCCATCCTGGTGGGGAAAGTGGGGGGATGAGATCCGCTCTTAGCCTCAGGAGCATGAGGCAGCTGGTCACTCTTTCTGCAGCTGGCAGAGAGAGAAAAATGCTGCTGCCCTTTCTTTTTTATTCAGTTGAGCCTCCTGCCTCCAGCCTGTGGGATGGTGCCTTGCACACTCGGGTCTCCCCACTCAGTTAAGCCTCCAGGATAACACTCTCACAGACACACCCAGAGGTGTGTCTCCTAGGTGATTTCAAAGCCAGTCTAGTCTGGACGGAGAGTCACCATTCTGCAAGCTGTTTTTTCTCTTATGCAGAATCAAGAGGAAGAGATGAAAGCAGGATCTGAGTTATTTGGGAAGAGGAAAGGGACGTGTGTGTGTGTGTGTGTGTGTGTGTGTGTGTGTGTGTGTGTGTGTAAGGGATAAGGGATGGAGATGGAAGTGAACACAAACTATGCTACATATACAGGTAAAGATGTCACAATGAAACCCATCACTCTATACAGGTCCTAGATGTCAACAAAAACAGCAGACTGTGGTGATATTTTATTTGTATGTTAATAAATAGAGTTTACCTAGAGATCAGAGGAAATAGCAAGCCGTTTTAAGTAAACACAAAAGTCAGGCAGTGGTAGCACATGCCCTTAATCCAATCACTTGGCAGGAAGGGTCTCTGTGTTCATGGCCACACTAGGGAACAGAGCCAAGCGTGGTGACACACGCCTTTAATCCCAGTACCAACCATAGAGACCTGGAGGTCTGTACAGACAGACAGTAACAAGGAAGTGAGGTAGCTGGGCTAAGATAGCCAATGAGAGGGTAGAACAGCAAGGCAACAAAAGCCTGGGCAGACAGGAAGTCATGGCACTGGGAAGCTGCAGAGCTGGTGAGTTAAGGTTGGTTGGTGGCTCTCACTATTTCCCTGATCTCTAAGGCTTTCACCCCTATATTTGGCTCCATGTTTTTTATTTAATAAGACCGCTTAGAAATTCGGCTACAGCAGACCCTGGACACCCAAAGCTTTCTGGCTTCTATACTGGAGCATTAGTTGTTGGAGACATTTTGAGAGTGCTCATGAGCAGACTTTGTGGATGGGGGTGACTCCTGGCTGTCTTTGTTTTTAGGGCTCTGTGTGAGAGGAGCCGTGTATCTTAAATACCTGACACTACCCGGATGGTCACTGTGCTGACTCTCCTTACCTCAAACACCAGCTTCTCATGTCATGAAGGGCAATCAGCCATTCATACCGAGAGCCTCCAAAGGCTGTATGACTCCGTCATCACCTGCTTCTCCAGTTTCCTTTCAGCAACCCAGGAGAGAGAATGCATGTTTTCATCTCAGCTCCCCCAGTCACTCTGCAGGACATTTGGGTATCAAGTCATCGCTTGTGCAGCTCCCTGGAGCCCTTGTCCTTGCTGGTGCCACAGTCCCGCCTCCCTCCGCCACGGCATCTTTGCTATAGGCTTCCCGACTCCGAGAGGCCATTCTCTCCTGACTCCTGGATGCCGCACGGTCTGCTTAATCTCTCAATCCCGAGGCCCCCTTCCCTCTGCTGACTCTAGCCTTTGATCTCACACAAGCCATGACTTTTTAAATACCTCCCATGTGTCATTGCCCTCACCTCTATATCTTGTCTCTAGAACTTTCCTCCTGGCTCCAGACCCATAGTAATAGTGAGAGTCTCACGGGCATCTCAGGTCTCTCTGCCGCCTCCAGGGCTCATAATTGATTCCTTCCCCATCTAGTCCTCCCAGCATATTCTGTGTTATCTCTGCCGCAAAACACAAATTTCTAGCTATTACCCGAGTGTCTGTACCCTCCCCACAGCTCACATGCTGAAATTCAAACCTCTCAAGGAAGGGAATATTATGCCATGGGACCTTGTAGACCGCTTCTGCTGTGAAGATGGGGCCTTCGAGAGTGGGATCAATGCTTTATTAAAGGGCTTCTGGGGGAGTTCCCCATGCCCTCTGGCATATGAGGGCACATCAAGGGGTCTACAGCACCCCAGTCTTGGATTTCCTAACTCCAGAAATAACTTCTCTTGTTGGTAAGCCACGCAGGTCAGAGTACACTCACTCCTTAGTCCCTGCGGGGAATTATTCCAGGGCCCCGGAAGACACCAGCATCCTAGATACTCACGTCCCTTTTACAAACAGTGAAGGATTTGTGTGTGGCCTACATACATCCTCCCGAATGTCAGGGCATCTTTGCAGAATCCGCCCTAATACAAAGCAAATGCGTTGCCAACAGTTGTCAGACTATATTTTCTTAGGGAATAACTTGACAAAATAAAAAAGAGGGGTCTTCAAATGTTCAGCATAGATGTGATTTTCTTCTAAATGTTTCCAGCCCACAGGTGGTTGAACCCTTGGGTGTGGAACCACAAATACAGAAGAGAGCCATCTTATTCTGCTACATCAGCCAGAAGTGACTGCCATTTCCTCCGCCTACTGTGTCTCTTGACTCTGGCCCCTGAGGGCTGCCCTTGAACCCCAATGAGAGTCTTCTCCGAAGACTGACTGACACCTGTGGGACTAGGTGCTGGGCAGAGAATGCAGATAAGACCCACCTGTCCCTGCTTCTCTCTTTTAATGGGGTAAGTTTGAAAGACCCAGTTACACGAGGTAAATGTGAAGGGACATGAGGCTGCTGGTGTGGTCACGTGAGGTGGCTCTGGAGCAGCTATGCCTAGACTGAGGCATTAATACAAATAGTGCAGGCTTCTCAGGCCCTGAGAGCTTCTGGTCTGGTATGAGAAGCTGGGAAGAATTACAAGTCTAGCAATTCTATAATCTGGTTTATATTTGAGGTAATTTCCTTCCACTGCTGGGTGGACAGTGACTTAGGAAGGACTCAAGAGACTCAGGAAGCATCAGGCCATCTGCTCAGCTCTTGGTCCAGGGAATGGGACCTGCCTGCATGAGCCGCTGGGCAGGACTGGGAGGCAGCTCCCCTGAGAACACTGAGTGCTGCTTTGAATTTGTGTCTACTGTGGGCAACTGAAAGTGTGGGAAGTCAAACTGTAGATAAGGAGGGACAACCACTGAAGCATTCCAGGGATGACCTCAGGGATGCAGGCAGGTGTGTAAACACTATCCTGACTTTTCGGGCATCCCCAAGGGTCCTGGTGCCACTTTCCCTCCAGGATCCTGGGGTGTCTGTCTTCTGCAGACCGAGAACATAAAAAGGGCTGTGGACACTGGCGTGTTTACTGAATGGGAGCTAACACAGAGTAATCCTTTCTGGATTCGAAAGGTATACACTAAGAGGAGGGAGCTGTCTGCCAGGGGTTCTCAAGGCTAGAATGCTTATGAAGCTGTGCTCCACATGACCCACTCTGAGAACCCACCATGGTGGGATCAGGAGCCAGACCCACAGATGAAACTAAGCAGTGTTGAAATGGCGTACTTCTCAGTCACCATGAAGGGCCTGACCTTGTCTCCTGTCCTTAGAGGCTTCTAGACTCAGAAAGATCTTTCCCCTGGGCACAGCTGGCATGCTCCACGATTCCTGCCTGCTTTTCCTCCCCAGAACCCTTCCAGAGTTGAGGGAGAAGCCGGCCAGAGGCAGGCGGTAGAGGCTGCGCGTTCACACCACGAGGCTGAAGCCAGCGTCTGTGACCATGAGACCTAAGTCCGTCTTGGAACTTCGTCCCCATCTCTGTCTCCCTCACCCATTGGGTAGTCAGCTAGGGAAGTGAGGGAACGTTTATGTGGTGTCTACTGAGAACCAGGTGCTGTTTGCACAGTAGGGCTTCAGTAGCAAATTAGACACCAGCCTTGTTCCTGAGGAGCAGAATGTTGAATGATTATAGATTAACTCAGCCTGATGGAGTGGGTTGGCTGGAGCCTGGCGGGCAGAGAGCTTCTGGAAGAAGTCATATAGAAATGGGGTTAATAGAAGTGAGTGAGTGGAGGTGATCCAGGCAGTGTGTGTGTGTGTGTGTGTGCATTCCAGACAGAGAGGAGCATGTGACCAACAGGTATGACTCTCGATCCACAAACCCAGGCATGCATGACATGAACTTTCTTCAACTTACTTCCTATTCTGAAACTCCCTCCCCCTGGGGTTCTCTCCGCCTTCACAAGGTCACAGCTCAGGGCTTGGATAGTACCAGTGTATTGATGAGAAATAGGCAGAAAACCCAGAGTCCATTTTCTATTTCTGTCTGTTGCCATGGTAATCCAGACTAGTGGCCCCCCCATTTCCTATTTGCTTCCTGCCCTGGGGCATCTTTCTGTTCCAGACAAGGAGGAAGTGACAGCCTTCGGCATGCAGTGGGGCTCATTCCAGATGGGCTCAGGGAGATGCAGCCAGGTGCTGGAAGCAGAAAAAGGAGCACAAGGGAAGTCGGAGCATCAGGCTGCAGAACCTCAGTGTCCTGTGCACGGGAGCCTGGATTTGATCTTGACGCCAAAGGTAGCTGTCAACACTTAAAAAATGGCCGAAAGCCATAAAAAACCCTGCGTACTGACTTCTCACGCTCCAACCCCAGTTCTTTCCCACCACTGGGGACCCTTACAATTTCACTGTGGCCAGACCATGCATCGAGGTGCATGGTGGTCTGGGTGGTCTGGGTGTCTTACTACTCTGCTGCTGGAGAATCCGAGGGTAGGAGTTCTGGCACCATGTAGAGTCCAGTGCCTATATCTTACCCACACCCCAGGGCATGCTCCTTCTTCTCTTGCAGACAAGTGGGGATGGGTGAGTGGCCCTCAGGGAGTCGCTCTCCTTCAATCTGACACAATGTCTTAGCATTAGCAGGCCTCTGCTCAAGGGAGAGGCCTCATTGGTGAGTCCAAACCTTTTCTTGTTTAGGGTAAAGAGGGGGGTAATAAAAAGGGACTATTTAAAATGAAGCATTTAAAAACAGTTCCCGAGAGGGTCAACCTTTTCTCCAAATCCTTTTCAAAGGAGGGGGTAAGGATGGATCCAGGCAGGAGGAAGCTGCCTCCGGGCCTTTGCATCTGCTGTGCTGTGTGTCTGGCACCCTTCCTGCTTGTCTCTCTCTGAGGACCAACTGCTCACACTTTAATGTGATGATACATTGTGTCCCCCAACATATTGTGCACCCTGATAAAGCTTATCTGAGGATCAGAGGAAAAAGCCAGCCACTATATTAAACATAGAGGTCAGGCAATGGTAGCACACACCTTTAATCCTAGCATTCAGGAGGCAGAGATCCATTGAGATCTCTGTGAGTTCAAGGCCACTCTGGGAACAGAGCCAGGCATGGTGGCACATGCCTTTAATCCCAGCACTAACCATAGAGGTCTGGAGGTCTGTACAGACAGACAGGAAGTGATGTAGCTGGGCGGAGAGAGGAAGTGAGATGGCAGAACAGAAAGGTATATGGGGGGGGGGGTTATACAGGAAGTAGGTCTCTCTGGAGGTGTTGGTGAGGTGAGGTTGGCTGTAGCTTGTCCTATTCCTCTGATCTCTTGGTTTTCACCCCAATACCTGGCTCCGGGGTTTTTATTAATAAGACTGTTTAGCAATTCCTCTTATACTTTAAGAAGCACTTCAAGGCTGCTCTGGAAGGCTCTTGTGACCCACTCAGCTTAGGTCTGGGCCCCTTCATGTCCTAGGCTTACCTGAGCCAGAGCACTGGCTTCTTGTAGTATCCGCTTCACATCTATCCTTGCCCTGGACAGTGAGGCCCGAGGGCAGACTGTACCTCATCCAGTCTTGAATTAAACAATCATCATTTTCATAATATGACAACAGTATTTGATCCATATACAACTATGAATGTGTTGCTGAAATCCTGCAGAGAAACAAATTAAGAAAATAAAACATTTCCTCACTTACTTCCGCCATTCCTCTATCAAGACCACTTTGGTTAACACTTCAATAAGTACCTTTAGCATTATTACATTTGTTTACTTGTATGGTGATATTTTAATTGTACTGAGATGTGATTTTATTTGTCTGTTAATAAATAAAGTTGTCTGGGGGTCAGAGCTAATAGCAAGCCATAGCAGAAGCCGGGCGGTGGTGGTGGTGGTGGTGGTGGTGGTGGTGCACACCTTTAATCTCAGCTCTTGGGAGGCAGAGCTAGGTGGATCTCTGTGTGTTCAAGGATACAGCCAGGATGGAGACACACGCCTTTAATCTCAATACCAACCATAGAAGACCTGGAGGTCTGTACAGACAGGCAGTGACAAGGAAGTTGGGTTTACAACTAATGAGAAAGCAGAATAGAAAGTCTATAAAAAGGACAAACAAACAGGAAGTAGGTCTCTTGCTGAGAAGGACAGAAGCGACAGTGAAGGGTAAGGTTTTTAGCTCTTAGCTATTGCTCTGACCTCTTGGCCTTTCATCTTTGTATTGGCTCTGTGTTTCTTATTTAATAAGATGGCTACACCTACATACTTGTGCGCGTGCGCGCGCAGTCTCAGGAATCGAACTCAGGGCTTCAGCCTTGGTAGTGAGTGCCTTTACCTGCTAAGTCATCTTGCTGGCCGGCCTTCAGCTTTCTCCCCATGACTCACTATTCATGTGTTTTTATGAACACATCTCTTTGTTTTATTGTTACAGTACCGGGGATTGAACTCGAGGCTTCCAGTGTGCTGAGCATGTGTGCCCCCCTCCCCCACCTAGAGCTACATCTCCAGCCTCTTGTGTATCTATTTTATTTTGATTTTTTTATGAATATAATATTTATTTTAATCACATCATATTGCACAGATGTTTTGTGACGTCATACCAAAGTTAGTCCCATGAGAGTGAATCTCAGACTTGCCACTGTAAAGTTGGAGAGAGGGGCCCGTGGCCTGATGTTTGGAGGATGTGGCCTATCTGCCCAAAGGCCATTGTGTCCCTGAGAGAGCAGGCTGGCACTGTCATGGCTGTGGCCACCCAGCCTGCCTCAGGGGCTTTGCAGTCCCGTTCTAGGGATGTGCAGAGGTCAACAACATTCAAGCCATGCACACTGGGCTTGAACTGCCGCCTTGAAAAGCAGTTGGTTTTGCTACCCAGAGACCTGCCACACACCCAGAGCAGACCTCTGGGTCCTGGGTGACAAATTCCTCAAGTTCTGAGACATTCATATTCCCATAGCCAAAGCTATGGTGTTAGCACCCTTCCCGTGACTGTCTATGCCCCTGTTTCCCACTGCCGTTCTTCAAGCTTCCTGGCATAGGTTGTCTGGGTGAATTAAAGTGAGCCGGAGTCAGGTGGCCTGATGCAAGGACCAGATCAAGTGCATGCATCACTTCCTGGTCCCTCAGGATATGGTAATCCTGGGATCCTACACTGGTCTCAGTTCCTCCAGTAGGCTCCCACCCCATTGCTAGGCCAACCAAAACCAGTCCCAATGTCACCCTGACATTCCCACCTCATGTTAACATAGACCTGAGAAGTCAGTCACGGGATTTTCGCTTTCCTGGTTGCTGGGTGTCACCTGGAGGGTGTGCTGGATGCCGGGGAAGAGTTGCTCGGGATTTGATTGGAGCATCAGGTTGTTATGCCAGCGGGAGGAGGTGCGACATCTCATCCTGACCGCAAGAGGGCGATAATGCCTCATCTTCCGAAAAGAGAGCCCCAGTTCCTTCCCTTCCAACGGCCCA